CAGATAATTTGACACCATAAACAAACCACAATCACCAAACTTTATCCTCACTCACTGGTGTTGCACAGTACAAAGCTTTGCATTTTATAAATGTGTAAAATTGTATAAGCAACACATTCTCGATTAAATCCATCTATGGGCAGGCTGGTTGCACTGAAGTCGGTCAATCAGCTGTAGTACAACTTGCCTGTTGGATGCAATCACCAACTTCTGGCAGCTATAGCCGCCGTTATCTCTGTGTTTTGGTGGAAAGGAAGGCTCCTCGCCAGCAAAACACAATAAGGCTGTGGAATAGATTTCCCTTCTGACTGCGTTGATGGAGAAATCAAGCATTAGTGTGTTTGTAGGCTCCTACAAGCTGTTAGCATTTTTTTTTTTTTGCTCCTAGAAGCAAAATAATGTTATCCTATGTGTCCATGCACATTATTTTAGGCTAGTAGCGTTTTCCAAGCTTCAGCATTTAGGAGCAGAAAAAAAAAAAAAAAAAGTTGTTTTTGGGAGCATTTTTCCGACAGGGAAAAAAAAAAAAAAAAAAAACCCAACAGCTAAAACATTCCTGAAAGATTTTTACTAGCTTTTTTTCCCCCTACATGTACTGTAAAGACACTAGTGCATCCAAACGCTTCTAAATGCTACTAAAAACTGATGTTACCAGCGTTTTTATCCAGCTTTTTTTGAGCTTTAAAAAAAAAAACAAAAAAAACCCGCTAGTGTGCATGGAGCCTAATGCAGGCCACAGATGGGGAGAAAAACGGCCGATTTTTCTTTAAAAAAAACGAAAAATCGGTCGTTCAAGCGGCCGACGTTACCAGCAACGGTAACAAAAAAAAAAAAAAAAACACGCCGATTTTCATCCTGTCTACAGCCGGCAAAAAGTGTCCCTGCAGAGAGCTCCGCGATTTCTTTGACAGTTCTTTGACATTTATAGCGGTTGCAACAATGTATTTGTATCCATTTAGGATACAGATGTTTTTATTCGGAAACAAATAGATACATTGTTGCAGCCGCTATAAATGTCAAGGAACTGTCAAAGAAATCGCGAGAGCTCTCTGCAGGGACATTTTTTGCCGGACTGGAATTCCTCTTCTTCTTCATCTTCTCTTCTTCATCCTCTTCTTCTTTCTTCTTTTTGTCTTCCTCTTGCAGGTCACTGCTCATGTGCAGATTTTTTTTATCGGTAAAAAGATCAGCCGATTTGCCCATCATTGATCGGCAAAATCGTCCGGTTTTTTTTTCCAACTTTACCGATAAAAAAAATCTGCCAAAATACCGAAAAACGTCAATTAGCCCACTAACGATCCGAAAATCGGCCGATTTTATTTTCGGACGAAAAATCGTCCGATTTTCGACCCATCTATGGCCTGTATAAGTATCACTTTAACCAGGCCATCTTTTAGATAATAGTCATGAGCCAAAGTTTTCTAACCTGCCTAGTGCTATCCCCCAAAGTAGTCAACTGGCAATGTCTGCAGGTAGCTCATAAACAGATCCCTACCTTATCCAAACAAAAAAAAAAAAATTCTGAAATCAGTAGACTGCACTGAGAGTCATTTAAGGTCTATGAGCGCCTTAAAAGGAATGCAATTGTGAAAGAATGCAGCTGTTACAATGTGTTTTCTCAATTACTAAAAAAGCATAAATAAATAATTTCTATTTACAGAGAGCAGAAACAAACTATTATGTTGGCTACTGTCCATGCTGGAAAATGCCCATTGTTAGAGCACAAAATTGTATGCAAAAACCAAGAAAATTATTATTACACTCTGCAAGTAGTCAATGGTCTCGTGTGTGTCTGTATATTTATTTGCCAGTTAACCTATGTCAACCAAAAAAATAGCAAAAAAAAAAACCTCTAAGGAGATCTCCATTCCAGTATAGATGTTAAAGCGGAGCTCCACCCAAAAGGGGAAGTTCTGCTTTAAGGACTACTCCTCCACTCCCCATTAAGAATAGGCACCTTTGGGGGGCGGGAGGGAGTGGGTACCCGAATTTGACAGGTAACCGTTCCCACCTAGGTGATCGGAAACAGAAGTTGTCCTCCCTCCCTCCCTGTAGTGTTTTTGGACACGTGACAGGTCCCAGAAGACTACAGGACCATTCATAAAGCACAGCGCTACTCGCGCATGCGCAGTGTGTACCTAGCTGTGAAGCTGCAAGCTATCACAGCCGGGTGCCCACACTGAAGATGCCAGCCTCCTGGAATCCAGGACGGCTGGTAAAACGGGCTGCAGGGGACACACCACGGGACCGAGGGACAGGTAAGTGGCTGTTTTTTTTTTTAAAAGTCAGCAGCTACAGTTTTTGTAGCTGCTGACTTTTATTTTTTGACAGGTGAGTGGAACTCCACTTTAAAACAATTTAGAATTGGTCATATACAACAGAAATTGTGAAAACATGCAAAATGTTATGAAATGCTAAAAAATAATCATTTAAAAAAAAAGGGACCTTCTGGTTTAAATGTTTTTTGTATGTTTGCACAACTGCAGCGGACAGCTTGTAGCTCTCAATGAACTACGAGGGTGCTGCTGAGTGCTCTCATCGATCATGGATTCTTCTTGCTCTCAAGCAACTGCCTGCCCACACGAAGAACAGGCAGACAGCTATGCAGAGAATCTGCAGGAGCCTGAGAATGCACCTGCGATCTGTTGATCATGGGTGCAATGCTCTGCAGGCTTCCCGGGGGGTGGGGGGGGGGGGGGGAATAAAAAAATTCTCTCTATCTGTCCACATACACGATATTGCCAAATGTATTGGGACCCCATCCAAATCATTGGATTCAGGTGTTCCAATCATCTCTATGGTCACAGGTGTATACAATCAACTACCTAGGTATGCAGACTGCATCTACAAACATTTGTGAAAGAATGGGTCGCTCTCAGGAGCTCAATGAATTCCAGCGTGGTACCGTGATAGGTTGCCACCTGTGCAAAAAAAGTCCATTGATGAAATTTCCTTGCTACTAAATATTCCACGATCAACTGTTAGTGGTATTATAAGAAAGTGGAAGCAACTGGGAACAACAGCAACTCAGCCATGAAGTGGTAGGATACGTAAAATGACAAAGCGGGGTCAGCACATGTTGAAGCGCACAGTGTGCAGAAGTTGAACAACTGTCTGCGGAGTCAATAGCTGAGGACCTCCAAACTTGGTGTGGCCTTCAGATTAGCACAACAGTGCATAGAGAACTTCATGGAATGGGTTTCCATGGCCAAGCAGCTGCAGCCAAGCTTAACATCACCATGTGCAATCCAAAGAGTCAGATGCAGTGGTGTAAAGCACGCCGCCACTGGACTCTAGAGCAGTGGAGACGTGTTCTCTGAAGTGATGAATAACGCTTCTGTCTGGCAATCCAATGGACGGGTTTGGCAGTTGCCAGGAGAACGGTACTTGCCTGACTACATTGTACAAAGAGTGACGTTTGGAGGAGGGGACATTATGATGTGGGGGTTTTTTTTTTGTTTTTTTTTTTTGTTTTTTTTTTTTTTTTTTTAGGGGTTGGGCTAGGCCCCTTAGTTCCAGCGAAGGGAACTCTTAAGGCGTTCGCATACCAAGACATTTTGGACAATTTCATGCTCCCAGCTTTGTAGGAGCAGTTTAGGGATGAGAGGAATAGTGCCCATCATTAGTGTCAATGGGAGAGAATGCCCAATTGTTGGTGTCAGTGGAAGTGTGTCTTAAGGGCCAGATAAAATAAAGTAAAGGGCAGCATCTGACCCCCGGGCTGCAGTGGAGACCACTGGTCTAATCAATCACGGGAGAATTGTGCAAGAAATGTAATTGAAAAATAAAATGAGCATAAGCTGTGACCTAGAAAGAAAATTCTTGGCCACAAAAATTCTTTTCTATAGCAACATAAAGTGAAATTAAAGACTTAGCTGGTCGAATTTCGAAATCAATGGTGGCACCATCGGATTACAAAACACACAAAATTTCTGATTTTCTAAAGAACATTTTTTTGGAATTTGATCCATGTATGGCCTGCATTAGGAGCAAAGCTAAAATTTAGACAACAAAATCCTAATTAACAAGAATTCAACTACAGGCGAGTCTAATTACTCAGTAAACAGGTGTCCAGCAGACAGCTGATTATAAAAGGGTGTTATTTAAAGTGGTTGTAAACCCAAATATAAAAATTTACTTTTTGCCATAAATACATTTTAATGTAAACATACATACAGCTGTGAGTGTACCTCAAAAATGCTCCCTTAGCTTGTCTCAGCCCTCCAAAAACTGTTGGTCTGTGGGCGTGGCTTAGGACCAGAGAAAAGTAGACGGAGATGTGATGTCACACAATCCTTCAGTTATCCATACCCTCCAGCCTTGGCTCAAGAACACGCACAGCTATCTATGCCTGCAAGCATGTCTCCTGAGTGCATTCAGGGGAATACACAGGTGCCAGTGACTGACAGCTCTGCTTACAGCACAAGATCTGTGCTAATCAGGAGAAAGCAGGTAGGAAGGGTTTAAAGTTAAAAATCCTAGGAATCCTGCAGCCTAAAGTGGCAAATGTGGACTAGGAAATATTCTCATGTAAAACTCTGTAAACAACAATTCACAAGCTAGGTGCTGTGAATAGAGCAGGACAAATCAGTTGTCAGCAGACTTACCCAGATAAGTACAGCATTACTGAAGTGATGCAGATCTGTCATAAATCACTCGTGCGGATTTCTTGATCTTGTGAAGGCAGACACCGGCACTGAGAAGACACCTGCTCCCCCACCCCTTTGCAGTGTATTACATGGAGGCTCGTGCTGGTCTCGTCTTCAGCACAGCCTGTCACTCACAGGAGAAGGGGAGTGGTGACACCATTTTTCTGCTTGTGTCAGATGTATTCTGTTCAAAAGAGCAAGGGGGGGATTTCTGGAGAAGGGGATTGCTTCAAGATACCAAATTAAGCTCAAATGCTTAGTAAAGGTAAAATCTATTCAACTGTAGGATTAGAGTGATTTGGTTTTTTAGGTTTACAACCACATTAACAAAGAAAACCCCTTCCCATTTCCTGCTGTCAGCAATGGCACCACATGGAAGAGAAATGTCACAAGGCCTGAGTAAGAAAATCATTTAGTTACCCAAAAAAGATGAAGGCTACAAGATCAGCAAAGCTTTACTTATCAGTCAGAATACTGTGGCAAAAGTGATACAAAAATTTAACAAAGATGGAACTGCAACCATCTCACAGAGAAGTCCAGGCCATCCACGGAAGTTGACACCTTGACAAGAGCGTCTCCTAATGAGAAGGGTTGAAGAAAATCGCCATGCAAGTTCACTGCAGTTAGCTAAAAGAAGTAGAAAGCCAAACTGGGGTCATTGTATCCTGTGACACAATACGGTGTACACTGCTGAGGAATGGCATGCATGGGTGTCATCCACGAAGGATGCCTCCCCTAAACTCCATGCACAAAAAAGCCTGCCTATGGTGTCGCATTGCTGAAGAGTACAAAGAAAGATGCATGGTGCCTACAGTGAAACATGGTAGTGGCAGTGTCCTTCTGTGGGGCTGCATCAGTCCTGCATTTCATTGATGGTATCATTAATTCACAGATGTACTGCTCTACATTGAAAGAGAAGATGCTACCATAACTCCATGCCCTTGTTCGTCGTGCACTTTTCGGAAAATGATCCTAAACACACAAGGCCACTGCTGCATTTTTGAAGAACAGGGTAAAGTGATTCAGTGGCCAAGTATGCCTCCTGATCTGAACCCAAACAAACACCTATGGGGAATTCTGAAGGGAAAAGTTGAGCATCACTCTCCATCCAGCATTCAGGCTCTAAAAGAGGTCCTTCTTGAAGAATGGAAAAAGATAGATGTTTCAATATGTCGCCAACATGTTCATTCCATGCCTAGAAGACTTGGAGCTGTCCATACAAATCATGGACGTCATAGAAAATACTAGTTGTAGTAGTTTTTGTTGTGGGGAGTATTCATTTTTGCATCAATTAATTTGAGTAAAACTGAACATTTTGTAATCTAAGTTAGATTAACCTTACTTTCATGTGATGAGCTAAACAAATGTTCTATAAAAAAAAAAAAAAAAAAAAAAAAACTCAGTTTTGTCAAAATTTTGAAAGTTATTTTTGTGTTCATTAAGATATTGATTAAAATCGTACTTTTCAAAAGGGGTGTACTCATTTATGCTGAGCACTGTATATAATAAATTAACTTTTTTTTACCTGCAAAAAAGAAAATAAAAATGTGCATTTATTATTTTTTCCAAAAAAAAACTGAACTTATCCTTTAAACTCTCCTACTGTAGATTACAAGAGACTGTCAGACAGCACAGTTTGGTGATATGATCTGTTTATTGTACAGTGTCTGTAGAAGTGATGTATATACTGTGTCTGTAATATCAATGATATATATAATCAAATAGGCTTTAAAAAAAATCTGGTTTAAAAACAGAAAAATTACAGAATATGAACTTACGACAGGCAGCACTATATTGTTGGTCATACCCACTGACCAAATTAAAGCCACCTACCTACTGTATATGCCACCAACAAACCAGATGTCTCATGCAGTCTAATATAGTAGACTGGTCCCCAAGCCCTCCTGCTCTCTAGTGTCCTTGTCACTTTCTCCCATGCTCACCTTCAGGACTCCAGAGCCTCTCCCATCATCTGGAACTCCCTACCCCAATCTGTTCAGCCATCTCCTACTCTGTCCACCTTGATCCCTGAAAACTCTTCAGGGAAAAATGTACTTTCTCCAACATTACCTTTTGTACCACTTCCCAACCCTTTTTTTAGATTGAAAGCTCTTACAAGTAGGGCCCTTCCAGCCCTCCTGTGTTAAAATGTATAGTAACTTCTGTTTCCCTATTGAGTGGACCCTAAAACTTTTTTTAATCCAAATATCACCCTCCCTTGTCAAAATCAATTTTGTCCTCTCCGGTCCAGTCATGTGGTCGCTCAGCTCCAATGACTGCAAGGAAGAGGAGTCAGTGCCGACAACGGCTGGTACATAGGAGCCTGTGTGTGACATCACCACTCCTGAAATATCCAGCTACTGTTAAGTGCTTCCCTTCTGCCATGCAGTCGCTGCTCACCGACACAGGGGATCATGTGACCAGAGGTCATATGTAAGTATACACATCTTTTTTTACACAGGGTAGGCAGGATAGGTAGCAGGAGGGGCAAAGCGATATTCTTAAGCATTGTTAGTATTAGGCTGCAATGTCACTTTAAAGCTCAAGTATGGACAAAAACTATTTTGTACATGTGCTCCACCTCTGGACTCTGTAAGTAAGGTGTGACATATCTCTTACTTTTATTGAGCCTGCCCTTTCCTGTTGGTGCCCTTCTGTGACTGGAGGAGGGGAGACCAACATTCATCCACGCCATCCATTTACAGAGCACCATGCTTTCATTGATAAGAATGCAAGGCTTTTTATGAATGGAGGAAGAGGAAGAGCCAAGGCAGTGACTTCCTGTGATCAGTGTACAGCAGCCTCAGTGCCAGATGGTCAGTGCTGACAGGAGTGTAGTTTGAATAAAAGTAAAATGTAAAGTGAAACAACCAATTCTGTTCAAAACAAATGAAATCAAAACGTTTGTGTGTGTGTGTGTGTAATATATATATATATATAAAGAAATACCTTCCCCTCCCCTTTTTCTTTAGAAGTTCACAGATACATAAGAACAGAGGGAGGAGAAAAAGCAGAACACTGATCTTTCCAATGAATGGCTGTGCAGAGGGGATATGTCAGGACAAATGTGATCATTGGAGGAGAGCATAGCTAGAGAACTGACCACACTGTATTCTCCTACTTAGTGTGGTCAGTTTTTATTAGGAAAGCAGAGTGACTGGCAGGAACACCAGGGATTTCACATAAAGGAAGCAATACAAAGAGTATGCAGATAGGCTAAAGCTGCTGATATCTCTCTGATGTATGAAGTTGGTGTGCGACTTGTGGGGCACTACTTTCATTCTGAGGCTAAAACTTGTCTATGAAAGCACGGTCACTCTGCCGGACGCGAGCTTGCAGCACAAGAAATGGACACATATGTGCACCCTGTGGCATTTGGCCCACCCTCCCTGCTGCTGCACAAGGGCAGAAAGAGGTTAAAGGGTAAGTTCCCCTTTCCATAAATTAACTCCAACTATTCTGGCCATCCCTCTGGAGTTTAGACGGACTCTAAACCCTGCCTTCACCCTAGATGGAATCCACCATATATGGCTGCAAAAGCTGGAGAGGGTTCCGAAAGTTACTAGGTACAAAGTTCCAGCCTCTGTTTATGATTGGCAGCACGATGAATGGGCTCCCGATCACTATGACAGCCAGTCACAGTGATCATGTGATTGGGAAGACTCTCTCACATCCCAGTGTTAAGACTCAGTTAAAGGGCCAATGGGAGGATGCAGGAAGGGGCAAACTGTTGGGGAGATTATATGTGCGTGTGTGTATGTATATTAGCAGGGGGGGAGGAGAAAAAGCAGTACACTGATCTTCCAAGTGAATGTCTGTGCAGATGGGGCATGACAGGACAAGTGTGATCATTGGAGAGCAGACTGAGTTCCCAGCATAGCTAGAGAACTGACCACACTGTATTCTCCTGCTTAGCGTGGTCAGTTTTTATTAGGAAAGCAGAGGGACTGGCAGGAACACCAGGGATTTCACATAAAGGAAGCAATACAAAGAGAACATACCTTTTCATACAAGAACATGGTACAGCAGACACATATCAGGAATATGATGCATACCATGTATGAGGTAAATGCCCAGGTGCTCTCCCATAAAGAAATCCATACAGATCCAAAATAAGTATAGAAGCACTCACAGATCTTGCAGCGGAGAAAAAGCAAAACAGAAGCGATTTTATTGTTAATGTTTTGATGAATCTTGAGAAAGATGGCCTGAGCTTCATCAAAACATCGACAATAAAAAGGCTGCTATTTGATTTACCCTGGCTGCAAGACCCGTGAGGCCCGGTTCACATCTGGGCCTAACAGAAATGTGGGCAGAAACAATCGGTTCTGCCAATGTGTAAAAAATCCAACATGTTTGCGGTGCTGTTATGAAATAAAGACCCCTCAAACATGGGTCATAGTCTTGCGTTTTCCGCAAAACACAAATTGCACTTGGCTCAGTGCCAAAATCGCCTCTTTAGCATGTTTTTTTGAGCAGAGGGAAGCCTATTCAAATGAATGGTGTCGCTAAAAAAACATGCAAAAAGTGCCAAAAATGTGCCGCTGTAGTGTTACATCACATGATAATAATAATAATAATAGGCAGAGAGTGGTCTTTTTGTTTCTGGCCTTCACACCACAATGTTTTTCTCTGATCAGTCCAAAATTTGAGAAATCTGAAGAGGGTTCTTCTTTAATCGTAAACAAATATTTTTTTTAAGAAACCTTAACATCTAATATTAAAATATCGCCTTCCTTGAAGTGGCGGAGATGGATCCCCAGTCAGGGGCATTGTCTGCCACTATGAAAATGTGTATGAAATAATGTCTCAATTTAATACAATGCAATGAGGAAAATTTCCTAATCAGTGTACAGTAGCCAATCAGCTTCTAGCTTCAGTTAGTTAATGTAAGCTTTGAAAATGAAAGCTAGAAGACGATTGGTTGTCAGGCACAGCTGCTCCAGGTTCTGTCTGCTCTATTCTTACTAAATTCCCCATTATATCTACTCAGAGCCATCCACAGCACACCCCCAGTCTCGGCACAGAACACACACTCCATTCCCGACCACTACATGACGGCAGCCGGGCCGCGAGCACTCACAGGGTCCTGGGAAGCTCGTCCTCCATGACTCCGGGCCCCTCTCCGTCCTAAGGGACCCGGCGGGAAACCGAGTCGGGGTTGCTGAAGGTCGGGCCGCCCCGGTGACGGTAGAAAGTCCGCTCTTTGTTGTTCTTTCTTCTCGGATGGAAGCTCTGAGACCCGGCTCCCACCTCCCCGGCCTGGAACAATGCGAGCCCGTCACCACAAGATGGCCACCGCGAAGAACTGCGCAGCCGCAGCTCGAGGACCCCGGAAACCGGCTGCCTCGGGAAATGCCTGTTTGTAAATCAATGCAATTACTAGACCACGCGACTTGTGTAAAGCAAGTGTCTGAAAATAATCCGATTGTCATGTTTAAGGAAAAATAAAGACATAAAGAAACAAAAGATTAAATGTTATGCTTTGAAAAGAGTTATTTAGAAAATAGATGGGAGTAGAAAAGAAGTGCGCCGCCCGGGAATCGAACCCGGGTCGCAAG